CCACAGCATACTTCTGGTTTTCTGGTGGTTTATTGGAGATAAAAATCTCATGGATTTTCCTGCTCAGGCTGGCTTTGAACTGTGACCCTCAGATCTCAGCCTCCTGAGTAGGTGGGATTACAAGTGTGAGCCACTGGTGCCCAGCAAGTTTGTGAGACTCATATCACCAATAAACTATTCAGAAAAAGCCAAAAGCTGCCCTGTGGCTCAAGTGGTAGAGAACTAGCTTTGAGCAAAAGAAGCTCAGGAGACAATACCCAGGCCCTGAGTTCAAGTCCCAGGAGACACACGCACACAAATACACTTCTATTTTTCCTATAGGTAGCATATACAGGTCAAGAAACAGATGGGTAGTGGCTCTTTTTCACTATTATCCTTCTGAACCTCCTGGCAAAATTTCTTCTTGTAACCACAATACTAGGCTTAGCTGCTGCTTTTGAGATTTTCTATTCCCAAAGAAAGACTGCCTCATGGAAGGGTTTCACAGAAAAAAACTGAAAGTATAAGAAGACTAAGCTTAGGAAAATTCATAGTGTTATTTTGTCATTGTTAAGTTGTAATGATCAAGTTTAACTCGTGTATCTCAATCTTCTGAAGAAATATCACTTATTTGAAGAATTTATTAGGATTTATTTACTTTTCTGTCAGTTGTTGGGCTTGAACTCAGGCCCTGGATGCTGTCTCTGAGCTCTTTTGTTCAAGGCTAATTGGCGCTTTACCACTTCAGGCCACAGTGCCACTTCCAGTTTTCTGGTGGTTAATTGGAGATAAGAATCTCATGGCATTTCCTGCCTGGGTGGGCACTAAACCGTGATCCTCAGATCTCAGCCTCCTGAGAAGCAGGATTACATAGGCATGAGCAACCAATGCCTGGCTTTACATGGATCTAATAGACACCGTTTTGTCAATTCACTGATTTATCTAAATGTCTTCAATATATACTTTATCAATCATGTTCTAAGTAGTTTTCCTTCTAGAAAATGGCCATCAAATCAGAGATAAAACTCTAGTGAATATAGGAAGGGCATTTAGTTGGTGCTGGTGGTTCATGCTTGCACTCCTAGGTACTCAGGAGGTTAAGATCTTTGTTCAAAGCCAGCTGGGGCAAGAAAAGTCCATGAGACTCATCTCCCATTAACCACCAAAAAGCCAGAAGTGGAGGTGTGGCTCACATGGTACATAGAGCACTAGTGTTGAGCATACCAGCTCAGGAACAGTGATGAAGCTTTGAGTTTAAGTCCCAGGACAGGCATGAAAAGAAAAGAAAGAAAAAGCATCCAATTTGTGATGATGATATACACTGACTTACTTTCCTTAAGAGAATGTGATTCAACAGAGTTCTCGAACCTAAACAAGCACTTCTATATTTAACAACAGGAATTTCTGGAAGTGTCTATATTTTGGGGGAGGGGAGAAGGTCACTGTGCCTGGGCTTGAAATCAGGGCTGAGTGCTGTCCATGATTGCTCAAGATTATCACTTGGGCTACAACTGTACTTCTAGCTTTTTGGTGGATAACTGAGAGTAGCTAGGATTATAGGTGTGAGCCACAGGTACCCAGCTTATATTTGTATCTTACATTATCTGTGAGCCCCAAACAACAACTACAAGAATTGTAATAGAAATCAGCAATTCTAATCCAAGACAATTTTGGGGTGGAAGAATCACAAGACAATTTTTATTTCCTTTTGAACTTCTTTTCAAAATAGATGACATTAAAACTGTAAACTTCAGTATTTATTTTCATAAACAATAACTTACTTTATTACAATGAATAGATGAACATACTTTACCTTCAGCTAACTGCCAAACTGACACTCTAAATACTGAATTCAGAAAATTCAATGGACTAAGCACAGCCAAATAATAACAAAGATAGGAATTTAATCAAGGCCCTTTGCAAGACCATAGCATAATAAATATAACACAAAACATTTTGAAAATGAACAGAAGTGTTTTATTTTTTTTTCTTTTTGTATGTGTTGGGTTAACCTCAGGTCAGGGCTGGAGTGTTCTCCCTTAGATTTTTTACTCTATTCTGGGGCTCTACTACTTGAGCCACATCTCTACACTTACTAGATAGCAAATTAACATCCAAACTAAAGTTTCATATTAAAATTTGAGTCTAAACAATGACTGGCTCATTTGATCATAGTATCGTAGTGTTATCATCCACTGATAACACTGTTCTGAAACACAACAGATAAAAGTATTCTGTGCTGAATAAGTATGATTGAACACAATGAACAGAATGTTCAGAATATTCACATTTCAGGGTGAGAAATTTTTGGCAAAAGAATTCTATGCTTGATCTTACTCTGGTGCACTAGCCTAACCACAATATTACACGGAATAAACATTTTCATTTAACAAATGTTTACAGAACACCTGTACCATATCTGAATCAATAATCCAACAATGAGATAATTAAGTGGCATTTTTACATAGGAAAATTGGAAGCAGCATAGAACTATTTGGTATCCATCTACTTATTGGGTACACTTTCTCATTTAATCCTGTCAGGAATCCTGTTTTGTAGATTGGAAGACAAAGGCTCAAAGAAGTTGTTAAACTTATCAAAGGTCATCTAGCAGCAAGGTGTGCAAGACTCGGGATTAGCTGTAATCTTAGCTACTCAAGAGGTTGAGATCTGAGGATTACAGTTCAAAGCCAGTCCAGGCAAGCAAAGTCCAGGACTCTTATCTCCAATTAATCAGCTGGACATGCAGTTGTGGTTCAAGTTACCGTACAGTGGTAGCCTTGAGCATTAAAGCTCAAGGACAGCATCTAGACCCTGAGTTCAAGCTCTAAGACCAGCACTAAAATTAAATCATCTAGCTCAAAAGTAGCTAGATCCAAACTCTTTATTAAGACAATATGAATTTCTACAAAGACTCCAAAGCCATCTAGAAAACATATGATTTGCTAGACCAGGAAAGAGGTATGTGCGAAGCTGGGGGGGGGCAGCAAAAAGAGAGAGGTAGATGACTGACATGCGGGAAGAATGCAGTCAAGAGTTCATTTAGGGCTTGGTGGTAGAGTGCTTACCCGGCATGCATGAAGCCCTAGGTTTGATTCCTCAGTACCACAAAAACAGAAAAAGCCAGAAGTGGTGCTGTGGCTCAAGTGGTGTAGAGTGCTGGCCTTGAGCAAAAAGAAGCTCAGTGATAGTGCTGAGGCCCTGGGTTCAAGCGCCAGGACTGGTAAAAACAAAAAAATCCCCAAAGACTTGATTGTATATACCACAAAGTTAAGAAAAGGGAAGAGGTGGGTTAAAGTGGGATGAGGATGCTGAACGGGATAATACTGGTATTGTATTCATAAACTGCTTTATTAAATGACACTCCTTTGTACAACTAGAGATAAAAAAAAAAAAAAAAAACCCACTCCTAGATTAAAACTACATAAAAATATCTGCATATGCATAGGAAATCATTGGGTAAATGTGGTTGATAACAATATTCCTTCAAAATTTATGTAATAAAATGTATACTGAGAAATTAGTTTAAATTGAATAAAAACAAATGTAACACAATGAGACCAAAGGAGTATATATACTCTTTGGGGAGGAACACAAAGGTGCAATGCCTATGTGCTTCTGATCATATAATACTTACCAAAATGAACTCCAGGAAATAGAAACATGATTTTGTTAATGTTTTCTTCACATTGACTATGTACTTGTATTCTTTTTTTTTTTGGTCCGGTAGTGAGGCCTGAACTCTAGGGCCTGGGCGCTGTCCCTCAGCTCTTCAGCTCAAGGCTAGCGCTCTACCACTTGAGCCACAGTGCCATTTCCGGCTTTTTTCTTTTTGATTATGTGGTGCTGAGGAATTGAACCCAGGGCCTCAGGCATGCAAGGCAAGCGCTTTACCACTGAACCACCTTCCCAGCCCCATGTACTTGTATTCTTTAAATCTAGAGTTTGCAATTTTATTTCTCTATTTAAGAGTATCAAATTCTGACTCACATTCATTTATACATAAACTTGATTGGCAAGAAGACAAATTCAAATACTTTCTTAAAAGTCTAAAGTCTGAGTTGGGCTTATGCCTGTAATCCTAGCTACTCAGGAGGCTGAGATCTGAGGATCACAGTTCAAATCCAGACCGACCAAGAAAGTCCATGAGACTCTTTATCTACTAACCAGCAAAAAGCTGGAAATGGAGTTGTGGATCAAGTGGCAAAGCACCAGCTTTGAGAAAAATAAGCTCATGGATAGTGCCCAAGCCCTGAGTGCAAGCTCTAGAGTCTTAAGTCTGATCAGCAAAAAGAAATAACCATCAACAGTTGGGCACCAATGGCTCATGCCTGCAATCCAGCTAATCAGGTAACTGAAATTTGGAGATTCCATGTCTGAAGTCAGTCTGAGCAAAAAAAGTCCTTCAAACTCCATCTTCAATTAATCAGTAAAAAGAGACATGGCTCAAGTGGTACAGAATCAGCTGTGAGTAAACAAGCTAAATGAAAAGCACTGGGTCCTCAGTTGAAACCCAAATATGTACAGAAAAAACAAAAAAAAAACAAAAATCAAGGAGGAAGTTATCTAAATTTGAAATATTTGACGGCAGGAAGGACTTGGTTACAATGTGCAACTTGTTCTGAGCAAAACTAAAACAATGTTCAGCTTAAAAAAAGTCCAACTCTACAGGAGAGACTGAGCTTGGTGGTGCAGGCCTATCTATCTTAGAAGTCTAAAATAGGCATATTGGACTGTGGTGGAATAGGAATGAGACCTTAATTAAAAATTAACCAGTGCCTGCCTGGCAAACTAGCACTTGAGTTTAAACACCACAAAATAACAAAAAAAAAAAAACTTTAAAAAACCCCCTAAGAATGCTAGTTAACCTATCACTATTTCTTCAATTTGTAAGATTGGTGGTATCTAAATATTTGTCAGGAGAAACTACAAAACTAGTCTCAGGTTTTGACAAATTAGTACTGTTAAAATATTGGCACCTTTAAGTAACAAGCAACATTCTAAAGAAAATCGGTACTTACTTGATAATCATTTCTCTTAATATTAGGTACATCCATGTTGTGAGTAGAAGGGCAAATATCTTCATATTTTTTCCCAGTAAAAATATCAATGCCGACAAGGTGAACCTGGGGGAAAACAGGAAAACCTGTTTAATCTCTGCCAAGCTTATCACTCATTACACACACCAGAGCACACTCATTATAAGAGCCTTTCTCCTTCCAAGGTCAGCTAATTTTACTTACTTCGAAAAAAACTTTCTTAGGAAAAAAGAGATGCAGTAAACAAACATGTAGTAAACTAAACTTGTATATAAAGAAAACTTTTAAGTTTTTCAAAACTTCAGAACAGGTCACTGAGATTCAGGAAAGCCTCAGTACCCATTTAATGAACCGTAAGGGCCCAAGAAAGGAAACATTCAAAGGCTAATCCCTTAGGAATTGAGGGAGGCAAAAACAAAACAACAAAAAAAAAAGTTTGGCAGTTACTGGGGCTTGAACTCAGGACTTGGGCGCTGTTCCTTGGCTTTTTTGCTCAATGCCAGCGCTCCACCACTACTTCTGGCTCTTTGCGGTTAATTAGAGCTAAGATTGTAGCTAGTATTACAGGCATGGGCCACCAGCGTCCACTTTATCACAAAATTTTAAGTCCAGAAATCTTACAAAGGACCACAAACCTGAACGCTAGAGCCAAGCAATGACTTGGAAAGACACTCACCTTGGCATGGCCATGTTTTCCAGTTTTGGAAGTTGACATCTCAACTATCTTGCATGGTCGTCCTTTGAGCACCACGAAGCCGTTTTTGCGCAGGGCCGAGCACTGCATAGGGTAAGTGCTGGAAGCCCCAGCGTCCCCAGTAGTGAAATCAATTTCATCCGCCATGGTGGCCTGGGGAGATGATAGTTGGTTTCCCCCCCCCCCCTTATCAAGGGAACTGTGCAAAAAGTTTGAATCTGGTTTTTTTTCCCTCCCCATGGGCATGCGAGCCAATGTCTCATTTTTTGTCCGGTTACGGGCAAAGCTTCCCGGGTCCGTTCTTTTTGCATTTCTGCAAAACCCATTCACGGCTAGTGAGTACTTTCCAACAAACTTTTCCAGCCCTCGGAGGGGAGAGCTGAGGATGGGAGCCGCGGAGGAGCTCGCTGGGAGGGAGGGAGGGGGGCGCCGCCGCCCCTCGTGGGACGGGAAGCCCCGCTCCCGGCCCCATCCCCACCCCCAGCTGTAGAAGCCCACGACCTTCCCGGGCCGCGCCGCCACCCCCCACCCGGATTCCCACGGCGGGGGGTCAGTCCAGGCCGCACGCCCTCAGCGAAGGATGGGGGGAGGGACAACGGGACCCCCCGGCACCCTCAGCAGGCACCCCATCCGTATCGCCGACGTCGCGGCAGCACGGGCGCCCTCGGTGCTGCAGGCACCCCGGCCCGGTTCGGGCCGGCTCGGCCCAGCTCCGTAAGGGCCTGAGTCCAGGCGGGTCCCGTGCTCGCTTCCCTCCTCCTTTCCATCTTCCTGCTTCCCCCATCCCGCTTGCTTTCGTCCCCGTCCGCCAGTTTTTCCCCAGCTTTTCACCTTTCCGCCTGTGTCCTCGCGCCGGTCTCCTGCAGCGGCGGCGGCGGCGGCGGTGGCGGCCGCAGCAGCAGTTCCAGGAGACGGGGCGGGGCCGCCACACTTTCCACACCCCGGCCTTCACCCCCCCCCCCCCACCTTTCCCGCCCCCACCTCAGCCCCACTTCCGGGATAGGCCCTGGAGCGTCATAGGCACCGCCCTTCTGGGCTGCCATTGGTTGCTAGCTTGCCCGAGGTCCCGCCCAGTCACGTGAAGAGCGCCCTGGTAACCCCACGTGCTGCGGATTTGGGCACTTCCGGCGTGGAACGCGCTCTCGGAGCCGGTTTGCTTGAGGGAACGGTTGCCTGCGAAGCAGGGTGCTCGCTCTAACTTTAGTTCTAGAACATTCCATGTTCTCTGGAACCGAAACACGCGAGAAGCGGCTTCTGTTCCCCAGTGTGTGCTGGTTGTCATGTGAAGGTTTTCGGACTCCCCCGAGTGTCCCGGTGTGGCTGTGGAGGGAACTTGGGGTTCGAGCTTCAGGCACCGCTTGCTGTTGCCCGTGGGTTGGAACAATGTTTGTTCTTAGCAGAAAGGCACAGGTGAAGTACCTCATGGGGCAGGGACTCGACACCCCCGGGCGTGGCTCTGACAGCCACTGCCGCCAGGTGCCCCCCCCCCCAGTCGGGGCTGGAGTCGGCAGTCTTCCCCCTGGAGTCGGCAATGACTCCCCTAGAATCGGCGCCTCCCCCTTGGGCCTAGAACTGCCCCTAGAGTTGGCACTGTCTTGTCTCCCCCCGTCAGCATTACCCCTCTCCCTCCGTCATGTATTCTGAAATAATCCATTCTTACTCAAAGATGTTCTATTCAGCCCTACATTTCTCATTGGTATCCCCTAGAGTTTTGGGGGTTGTTTATACCATATTAACAGCCATTGCCTTGGCTCCGATTTGGGGGGAATGTTCATGCCATATTATAGCCATTGCCTTGTCTTCATAATCGATCTAGAGTGCATAGACTTGGGAAACATTAAAGACAACGGTTTTCTAAAAGATGTGCTCCCCGTTTTTACAGTTCTACTTTGGGAAGGTGACCTAGGAAATGACTCCACGTCCCCATTCACGTGGTCCTGTGATTTGGTATTACTACCCCGTAAGTAACCCGTTTTCTACATTTATATAGGACCACAGGTTGAATGTATTTCACATGCATTGGTTTTTTTTTTTTTTTTTGGGTCCTGTCTTAGGGCCTGAACTCTGGGCCTGGGCACTGTCCCTCAGCTCTTCAGCTCAAGGCTAGCGCTCTACCACTTGAGCCCCAGCGCCACTTGCGGCTTTTTTCTTTTTGCTTATGTGGTGCTGAGGAATCGAACCCAGGGCCTCAGGCATGCAAGGCAAGCGCTCTACCACTGAGCCACCTTCCCATGCATTGTTGCGACAACACAATAAGCAATTGACTTCAATACATGAATCCTAGCTTCGTGTTAATTTGAAAAGGGCTAGATTAGAACTCTGGTTCAAGAGGCCATTGTGCATTTCCTTACACTGCCTGTACTTTTCCTGTGTTATTCCTTAGAGTGCTTGTTAATTTTATTTTAAAAGTTATTATATGGGTTGCTTGTGTGCTAAACGTTTCATTTATGTTGTTTAATCTTTTTCCATTTCCTGGAATTGAGTTTGATAAATATTATTTTATATGATCGGAGACATACAGGCATTGTATCCTTTTGTGTTCTTCCCCTAAGAGTATTTTGCTTTGGTCTTGCAGTGTGTGAATGCCTGAAGTCCTGTATAATTTACCATGCCCTGGTGTATTTTAGATCTAGAGAAAACATGCGCCATTGGTCTATCTGAGCTTAGATTGCCGCACTTGTGTTTAATCTTTTTAAATTTTTTTTTCATTTTTGTTCTGGGGCTTGAACTCAGGGCCTGGGCACTGTCCCTGAGCTGCTTTTTCTGGTGAGCCATGGCGCCACTTTTGTCTTTTTCTGTGTATGTGGTACTGAGGAATTGAACCCAGGGGCTTTATGTGTGCTAGGCAAGCACTCTACCACTAATCTACATCCTCAGCCTCAACATTGTTTAATCTCTTTTTAACTTCAGGTTTAAATTATAATTTACAATTTACTTTCAAGTCTGAGTTTTGAAAAAACATAAGCAGTTATAAAATTACCACTATAATCAAAATATAGTATGTTTTCACTAGTTTCTTATGCCTTTTTGAGGTCAGTCCTGTTGGTTCCATTCCACATTTGACAACCATCAACAGCTACTATTTTATCTGCATCTTGAGTAATGTAAGTAGGCAAAGAAAAGTTAAGTAATTTGCATAAAGTAATGCAGCAACTTAGTCACAGGATTGAAATGTATGGAGTTTGCCTCTAAAATCACTGTTCTGGCTACCATCATATGTTGCATAAGGTTTGGATTTGGAACTGAATTAACTGTACTTGAATGATTGGTTTTAGAGGAAACACCTCTGATGACAATCCTGTCATGAGTTGGTCAGCATCTGATGACAACATTGTCACTGAGTGGTCAATGGGAGATTTTGATATGTTTTCTGTTTAAAGAGCCTTTTCTTAATATATATTGCTGACTCATTAACATTAAATTCATAGCTAATTTCTGTTTCACGTCTGAAGGCAGCTTATCTACATGAATATATTCTGTAAGGCCATAGATTTTTTTTTTTTGTTGGTTATGGGGACTGAACTCTGGGCCTGGGCACTGTCCCTAGCTCTTCAGCTCAAGACTAGTGCTCTACCACTTGAGCCACAGTGCCACTTCCGGCTCTTTCTGCTTATGTGGTGCTGAGGAATTGAACCAGGGTATTACTCATACAAGGCAAGCACTCTACCACTGAGCCACCTTCCCAGCCCCATTGATTTCTTGTACTTATAAACACTACACAGCTCTTCAACATGTTTCAGGGCTGTTTTAAGATAAAAAAAAAAAAAACCCTAACAAAACCATGGTAGTAAGTAAACTGAAAACTTGGTTATAGTTTGATTCTTCTGTGTTTGATCTTAGCTAGAAAATGTGCATGATTCATGTTCATAAATAACCTAGAAAGTACTGATTTGGAGTTAAAAGTTTAATGTATTTAAATATCCAAGTATGGAATCTAAAAATAATGGAAGATTGACTTTTTAATTTTAATACCCTTACTTCTGGAATTACCATTTAGATCCATACAGTCCTTTGTTTATTAGCTGCTTGCAAACCAGTACAAGAGATAGTTTAGCAATTTTAAAAGGCAAAAGGTGGTAAATAAATAATTTGTAGGACATGGAAAAGGGATATGTCTAGTCTAAATGCTGTCCAATTCAAATATAAGCCAATCATATATAATTTTAAGTTTTTTATGGATACATTAAACATTTAAAAAAGCCGAAATTAATATCAGTAATGTATTTGTCCCAATAAATGTCTAAAATAGTATTTCACGTGTAACTAATGTACAGTCATTACTAAGCTACTTTCCATTGTTTTTTCCTTTTACAAAGCCTGTAAAATTTAATGTGTATTTTATATATATATAGATATATATATATATTTTGTCAATATAATTTGTCAGTCATGGGGCTTGAACTCTGGGCCTGGGTGCTGTCCCTCAGCTCTTCAGCTCAAGGCGAGCGCTCTACCACTTGAGCTACAGCGCCACTTCCAGTTTTCTGGTGGTTTATTGGAGATAGGAGTCTCACGGTCTCTCTTGGCTGGGCTGGCTTTGAACTGCGATCCTCAGATCTCAGCCTCCTGAGTAGCTAGGATTACAGGCGTGAGCCACCAGCGCCCGGCTGTGTATTTTATATTTATCAGTACATCTCAATTCATATGTGTATTTCAAGTGGGCAATAAGTATAGATGGCAAGTGGCTATCATATTGAACATCACAGATTAGAAGAATATAAAGAGACTACATTGGAAAGATTAGCAGTGAGAAAGCATTTGAGAAAGGCAATTTAACTGGAGGGAATGGAGGTACAAAAGGCCTATCATTGATGAATCTGTGATAGCATCTTACTACAAACATCTTAAAGGTGTGATTGGTGTCTCAGTAAAGAGAAATGGATGAATCTGAATTTTATCTCAAGGCAATAAACATTGAAATAACAAAACTATTTAATTGTGCTATAGAAACTTAAGGAGGAACTATTGGAAAAAGGGACAATTATAAAGGCAACCATTTTTTTTTTAATGAACAAAGTGGTTACTGAAGAGATTATGAAAATCAAGCAATGCAGGAAAACAGAAATAATGTTATAGTTGGAGATTAAAATAAGGGAAGCGTAGACACCATGAAGAAAGAGACAAATTAAGACTCACTGGTTTATGTCACAAAAACTGAGTAAATGTTGGTATCATTCACTGAGGAAAATATGCAAGAAGCAAGTTTCCAAGGAAAGTTAAGATCACTTTTGTAGACACTGAGTTTGAAATTCCTGTGGAGAGATGTCTGTCTTTTTTTTTTTTTTGTCGGTGGTGGGTCTGAACTCGGCTTGGGTGCTATCCCTGCTCTCTTCAGCTCAAGGCGAGCTCTCTACTGCTTGAGCCACACCACCACTTCTGGTTTTCTAGTGGTTAATTGGAGATTAGAGTCTCACAGACTTTTCTGCCAGGGCTGGCTTTGAACCATGATCCTCATTTCTTAGCCTCCTGAGTAAAGAGAGAGGAAAAGAGCCAAGGTCCTATAATCCTCTTTAAGGGCACACCCCCTCTCAATGTCTAAAGATCCCCACTCGCTTCTTTTAGGGATGGTCACCTCCCAATAGTGCTACCCTGGAATGCAAGACTTTAACACTTGGGCCTTTGGGGACATTGAAGATCCAAACTACAGTGCAACACATTGGCATGCATATACCCATGCCAGCAAATTAAGTCTGGTTGAATTTTATTGATTTTGCTCTGTAATTTTTTGTACTGCTTTAACACAATAATTTCCATATTTTTATTAAGCTGTTCTTCTCCATCCCCACAGTTTTATTTTCTGCCTTTTTAGTTATTACCTGCAGTCTACGAGGGTTGAAAATGCTAAATGGAAAATCCCAGAAATAAATAATTCATAAGTCCTAAATTACATGCTGTTCTGAGT